CTTGGGGATTGAAGTCAGGCATCAAGTGCCTTTACCCACTGAGCCACACATGAGTGCTGGAGACCTACATACAAATGTGGGAGAAACAGAGACACGAGAACAAATATGCGCGAATCTAGCCCTGAGATCTGGGCTGTGAAAGGGTCTTGAAACAAAGCCTTAAAAGCAAGGAACAGACTAGAACCCAGACCTGATTTCTAAATACAGGGCTCCCTGGGAAATGGCTCAGTGACAAGTGTAAGATGAACCTAGTACATACTACTGTTGTGCCAGGTAAGGACACATTCAAAGAATGTCAGCAATATGTCACAAGAAGAGAATGAAGCTTGGAGGAGGCCTTGCTTGTCAATCTTGGGCAGCTTGGACATGATAAGGAATCATACTAGTAATGGATTATAACTTATCAATGAAATAGGGATCCTTGATTCAAACAGAGATGGAAATGATAAAAGAGATATAAATGATGCCATGCTCCACATTGATGGTGGCTCAGAGGGTAAAGAGCTTGCCTTACAAGCCTGAGGGCCTCTGAGTTCAATCCCTGGAACCCAAATAAAGATGGAGGGAGCAGACCAAGTCCCAGGTTTCAATTCAGGGTTCCTAGCCACAAAGTAGTAATTATTTTAGGGAAACCTGGCAGATACCACTTCAACAAAGGGATCTGAGTGATCACCAGTGTGAGAGCAATTGGAATTCCTCACTCTGATCCTCTTGCGGCAAATGTATGCTGGGCCCTTTTTATTTGTTTCTTCATTCTGAGTCTTTTTTTTTTGTTTTTTTTGTTTTTTTTTTTCCGAGACAGGGTTTCTCTGTGTAGTTTTGGAGGCTGTCCTGGCACTCGCTCTGTAGACCAGGCTGGCCTCGAACTCACAGAGATCCGCCTGCCTCTGCCTCCCGAGTGCTGGGATTAAAGGCGTGCGCCACCAACGCCCGGCTCATTCTGAGTCTTAATCATGGGTTACATTGGGTACACTCAAAGTTGGGAACATTAAGACATAATTGGTCTATTATCTTTGAATGTGTCAAAGATGAGGAAGGGCTGAGCCGTCATCCCAGACTGAGGAGATGAAACATGGATGTGTCCATGTGCTAGGTGCATTTCAAATCCACGGGGACAGACCCTCTTTCATTTCTGTGTTGGGGACTCACTATGAAGACTAGGCTGGCCTAGAACTTGCTATGTAGACCAGGCTGACCTACAGTTCACAGGGATCTACCTGCCTCTGCCTCATGAATACGAGGATTAAAGTCATTCACCACCAAGACGAGCAACAGAAATTCCTTGAGTGCTTGTGTAGAGCTTCTAGCAGAGTGGAGCTCCTCATGCATCCTTGACCACGACTGGACCTGCTCCATCAGGGAAGGTCACCTTTGACCAAGCATGCAGCTTTGGGAGGGACACACATGGGATGGTGAAGAAGGAAAGTTACTCCTGCCTAGGCAGCCAGGTCATCCTCACCTCTGGGGGCAGAAACTCGTATGCTCAGGATCCTCTAGCCTTCTTAAAATTTTAGACTGGCTGTCTTCAAATCCACTTTGTGGCTGAGGAGAACCTTGAACTCATGATCCCTAACCCCAGTCCTGTGGCAGGTGTGCATCGCCACATCCAGCTGAGGAAGAGTGAAGAGGGAGTTCCTCTTCTGCCAGGTCCTGCTGCCCTTCAGCCCCAAATAAGCACACAAAGACGTTAATTATTAAACTGTTGGCCGACGGCTAGGACATCTTATTGGCTAGCTCTGTCTTAGTCATTAACCCATAACTACTAATCTATGTATTTCTACATGGCCTTATCTTCCCAGAGAATGCCTGGAGCGTCCTATCTTCCTGGTCTCTACATGATGTCCCTTTCCGAGGCCTTCCTCTGCCTTCCTTTCCCCAGCATTCTCCTGGTCTGGTCGCCCCGCCTATGCTTCCTGCCTGGCTGTTGGCCAGTGTTTTTTTTTTTTTTTTTTAAAGATTTATTTATTTATTATGTATACAGTGTTCTGCCTGCATGTATTCCTGTAGGTCAGAAGAGGGCACCAGATCTCATTACAGATGGCTGTGAGCCACCATGTGGTTGCTGGGAATTGAACTCAGGACCTCTGGAAGAGCAGCGAGTGCTCTTAACCTCTGAGCCATCTCTCCAGCCCTGGCCAGTGTTTTATTCATCAACTAGTAAGAGAAACATATATACAGGAGGACATTCCCCCATCAGAAGAGGCTCCTTTGTGCTTTAGAAAGTTCCAGTGGGATCAAGCCCCAACTTGCCACAGCACAAGGACAGCTCTATGGTTCAACTTTGTACTGGCTTTTCCTTGTGCTTTCTCTCTGGGTCCACCTCCAAGTGTGCAGAGTAAACACAGAAGCTGGTATTCCCAGCTCTACTTCCAGATCTAACCCAGGGTAAGACCGGGCAGAAAGCTCTAGAATGCATCCTTGGAGAATGGAATTGCTCCTGTGGAGTGAAAGCAACAAAGAATCTGCAGTGCCCAGTGGGCAGTGAAGACATTTGTCATGTGTTGGCTTCACACGTACCAAGGCTCCCCCTGTGGGGGAGAGTGATTTCTGTCACCTGATAGACTTGAAACAGGGGTAATTATTCTGGTTGTAGACTTGCTTGGCCTCTGTGACCTGCATTAGAAGCTTTGCAAAGAGAAAACGAGAGGCTATTGAGGGCAAGCTGGGAAAGCCAGAGGCCGCCTCAGTTCGGTTTACAGACATCCTCACTTCTCTAGCCAGAGGGGAGAGTCAAGCTTGGGATGTCATCAAAGCATGGTGCAGAAACTAAAGGACAGAAAGGCACACCTGGCAGGGAAGAATGCACCTCGGGATGTGCGAACCTGAGACCTGAGCATTCTTTTTTTTGAGACAGGGTTTCTCTGCACAACTATGGAACCTGTCCTGGAATTCACTCTGTAGACCAGTCTGGCATCCAGTTGACAGAGATCGCCTGCCTCTGCCTCCCGAGTGCTGGGATTAAAAGCACCACCACCTGGCTGACCTGAGCATTAAGTCCCTTGATCCCTCTGAATAGACAAAGATGATTTCCTACCCTTGCTGGGGACAGAATCCTCCTTCCTTCCCTTGTCCTGTAACAGGCTGCAAGCTTGGTGAATGAGAAAGATACTTGTGTGTGTGTGTGTGTGTGTGTGTGTGTGTGTGTGTGTGTTGCAATGAAAATCAATACTAGCCAGATGGTGGTGGTGTACACTTTAAATCCCAGCCCAGCACAGGAGGCAGAGACAGGTGGATTTCTGGGTTTGAGCCCAACTTACAGAGTAAGTCCAGGGTAGCCAGGCTACCCAGAGAAACCCTGCCTTGAAAAAACAAAGAAAGAAATAAAATAGAAAGAAAGAAAGAAAGAAAGAAAGAAAGAAAGAAAGAAAGAAAGAAAAGAGAGGGCTGGAGAGATGGTTCAGCAGTTAAGAGCACTGGTTCAATTCCCAGCAACCACATGGTGGCTCACAACCATCTGTAATGGGATCGGATTCCCTCTTTTGTTGTGCATGAAGACAGGTCACTCATATATATACATATTATAAAGAGAAAATATTAGCCGGGTGTTGGTGGTGCACACCTTTAATTCCAGCGCTCGGGAGGCAGAGGCAGGCTGGACTACCAAGCGAGTTCCAGGACAGCCTCCAAAGCCACAGAGAAACCCTGTCTTGAAAAACCAAAAAAAAAAAAAAAAAAAAAAAAAAGAGAGAGAGAAAATATTATAAAAAGAAAGAGTCAATAGTAACGACTTGTTTTCTTTTTAATTAGGCATATGTGGGTATCTGTGTGAAGGTTTATGCACACATGAGTGCAGGTACCTCGAGTCCAAAGGGTGCCAGATGCCCTGGAATTGAGGTTGCAGGCAGTTGTGAGCTGCCTGACTTGGGGATAGGAGCCACCAATGTCTTCTGCCAAAGCAGTATGGGCTTTTAGCCATGGAGTCATCTAACCAATACTAACTTTTGCAGCCTCATAGTCATTCACATAAGCACACATGCACATGCGCATGCACGCGCGCACACACACACACACACACACACACACACACACACACACAGAGGCCTGCTCTCCTATACTGCAATGTTTGCAGTTGAGTAGCCACACCCACTGTTTACATGGGTGCTGGAGACCTGACAGGGAGTAAGCCCTCTTTCCCAGTGAGCCATCTCCCCAGCCCCTCAGGCCCTTTTCAAGGTCTCCTGTATTTAGACGTGGTTTATGGTTTGTGGTGGTGTTAATTTGTAGCTTTCTATTTGCTTTTTGTTTGCTGCCCCCCCCCCCCCCCCGTTTCTTTCTGTTTTTTGAGACAGGGTCTCAGTATCTAGCCCTGGCTATCCTGGAGCTATGTAAATCAGGCTGTCTTGGAACTCACAGCAACCTGTCTCTGTCTCCTGAGTGCTGGGATTAAAGATGTGCACCACCACACCTGGCCATTCTTTGTGTTTCTGGCAGGCATGGGGATAAGTGAATGTGCAACACAGTCATTACAATTCATTCACCATCCACCCACAAACAACACTGCTGCCTAAGACTTAACTTTTTAGAATTTCATTATTTTTAGATAAGATTGTGCATGTTCGGGGTGGTATGGCTGTGACTTCTTTTTTTTTTTTTTTTTTTTTTTTTTTTTTGAGACAGGGTTTCTCTATGTAACAGTACTGGCTGTCCTGGATCTCACTTTGTAAATCAGGCTAGCCTCGAACTCACAGAGATCCACCTGCTTCTGCCTCCCAAGTGCTAGAATTAAAGGCATATGCTACCACCACCCAGCTTGGCCTCATTTATTTTTAATTTAGTGTTTAGGTGTGTGTCTGTACACATGAGTGCAGTGCCTGCAGGTGCCAGAAGAGGGCAATATATCCTCTGGAAACAAAGTTATTGTCACCTGAGTAGTGGGATGTGGATACTGGGAATCAAACTCCTGTCCCTTAAAGAGCAGTATGTTCTCTTAACTGTGAAGCCACCCCTTCAGCCCCAAGATAATTTCTACTAAAATGGCATTGGAAAGGGAGAACGATGGATGCCCACAAAACCACTTTATAAGTGTTACGAAGCCTGGCTACTTTGACAAGACTAGATGTCCAAATTAGCTAAAGGAATAGTGTTCCGATGTGAAAAACACAAATTCACTTTAGGCAACCAGGTTAAATATTTTTGGTTTTGTGTTTTAAGACGAAGTCTTGCTTTGTAGTCCCAGCCAGCCTTGAATTCAGGATCCTCCTGCCCCAACCTAGGGTGAGACTTCAAAGCGCCTGGTGAATTTTCTTTCTTTTTTTTTTTTTTTTTTTTTTTTGGTTTTTCGAGACAGGGTTTCTCTGTGGCTTTGGAGGCTGTCCTGGAACTCACTCTGTAAACCAGGCTGGCCTCGAACTCACAGAGATCCGCCTGCCTCTGCCTCCCGAGTGCTGGGATTAAAGGCGTGCGCCACCAACGCCCGGCTTGCCTGGTGAATTTTCTGTCTCTCCATGTACACGAGCTTTACTAGAGTCTTTTACACTGGATGCAGTCAGTTCTATCACACTTCAGTGTGTGAGCTCTGAATAGATGTAACTGGGGTTATTACCCACACAGCCCTCTGAAATGGAAAAGGAAAGAAAGTCAGTAACCTCAGTCCAGACAAAGTCTTAAAGGAATCCCCATTTCAGGAGTATGGGTTCAGTGGGTATGGGCACTTGCCACCAAGTTTGATGATGACCTTAGTCCTATCTCCAGGGTCCCACAAGGAGGATGGGGAGAGCTGACTCCAAGCTGTCCTCAGACTGCCAGTGAGCCCCAGGAGTCCCCTCAACTCAGCACGGAGTCACAGGCCCAAGCATGGCTGTGCCCAGCTTTTTGCAGGAGAGCTGGGGATTCAAACTCAGGTCCTCATGTAAGTGAGGCAGGCAAGTGCTCTTAGCTCGAGAGGGATCTCCCCAGCCCCTGATTTCTCCTCGAAAATGTTTTAGAACTGACCCCAAGTTCTCTTCTTGAGAGTTTTTTTGATGGTGTTTTTTAATTATTTTTATTGTAGTTTTGTGTGTGTGAGGGGTACATGTGTACTTGGAGGTCAGGTGCTGAAGTTACAAGGGGTTGTGAGCCATCTGACATGAGTGTGGGGACGGACTCAGGCCCCTGGAAGCACAGTCCACGCTTGTGATGCCGAGCCACCTCTCCAGCCTGCCTTGGATGTATATAGAGGACAGTCCCTTCCTTGTCTTCTCCTGCTCCCTCCTGACATCTCTGTGGGAGCTGCTGTTGGCTACTGTTGACTTGCTGAGAACCTGGGGGCCCCATGCCCCCTCCTTGGATACAAAGCCCCTGCTCACAGTGATGTCACAGGGACTCCAGTCTCATCCCAACAGCATCTCTTGTGCCCATCATGACTCACCTTGTTCCCTGGGTGCCACTTCCTTGAAGACTGGAGTGGCATAGTGTAGCTCCTGGGGTTTTCCAGCCTCTGGGCAAAAACAAAAACAACAACAAACAATGCATAGTGTTATTGGACTAATTCTCGGATCCTCTGACCATGTGATGGTGGTGGCCTGGGGCCTAGAGAGAGCACTTTCTCTTTGGGGGGTGTGGAAATGTGTTGCTGTCACTCCAAGTCTGATCCAGGGCTCCTGCTTCACAAGATGGGAATGACAGAGATTGGATGCTGGTGTGTCAGGGCTTGCACAGTACTCAGAGTGTGGCTGGGGCTCTGTTGAGCTGGCTGGGGCAGGGCCCCTTAGTTAGACCCTTCCACCACAAAGCATCCAACATGCAATGTCTGATTTGATAAGCGACTAAACATTGTATGGTACCGTGACTCTAGCTAATCACTAAATGCTACACATCTTGAAAACTGCTAAGGGAGCAATTTTGTGTTTTCTTGGCTGGTCCTGGGTTTGATCCCAAGCATTGCAAAAAAGCAAATAAGCAAGCAAACAAAAATGACATGTGCTTGCTTCTGTGGCATGCAGACTAAAATAGTTACAGAAAAGGTTATTGAGGCCTCTGGGCAGGGATGGCACACAAATTAAGTCATATTTGTAATCCTAGGACTTGGGAGGATGAAGCAGGAGGACTGTGATGAGTTTGGGGTCTTCCTGGGCTACATAGTGAGTTCAAAGCCAGTCTAGACTAGATGCTAATAAAAAAAAACAAGTGAACAAATAAACAAACAAAAAATCTGTTCCTAAATAATCAAGCCCCACATGATAAGTATATATGGCTTTTATTAAAATAGATATTTTTAAAGAGCATCTTGAACATAGTATCACATGTCTATGATCCCAGTGTTTAAGAGGCTGATGCAGGAGGATTGCAAGCTTGAAGCAAGGCTGGGCTACAGACTTTGTCTCAAAGCAAATGAACAGTCGGGTGGTGGTGGCACATGCCTTTAATCCCAGCACTCGGGAGGCAAAGGCAGGAGGATCTCTGTGAGTTCCAGACCAGCCTGGTCTACAAGAGCTACTTCCAGGACAGCCTACAAAGCCACAGAGAAACCCCTGTCTGGAAAAACTAAAAAAAAAAAAAAAAAAAAAAAGCAAATGAACAACAAAAGTTGTTTTTTTTTTCAAAAAGCAGATGATCATAAACTGGGCAGTGGTGGCCCACGCCTTTAATCCCAGCACTCAGAAGACAGAGGCAGGTGGATCTCTGTGAGTTTGAAGCCAGCCTGGTCTACAGAGTAAGTTCCAGGACAGCCAGAGTTACACAGAGAAACCCTGTCTTAAAAAAACAAACAAAAAATATGATCATGAAAGACTTTGGGATACAACATGGATCATCCCAAGTTAATATAAAGTCATCTTGAAACTATGTAAAGGCTAGAATGGCCGAATGGTGACATCCTGCATCTGGAGAGGAAAATGGGAGATGGAGGGCAGAGATGGGAGGGAAATAGGATACTCTGTGACGTTGCTTCTTTTTTTTCCTTTTTTAAACCCATGTGATGGGGGATGTCCTTCTTTACGCTGTGAATATATGTTTCTCTTATTGGTTGATGAATAAAAGCTGATTGGCCAGTAGCCAGGCAGGAAGTATAGGCAGGGCTACCAGATTAAGAGGATACCATGTAGCCTCCAAAGGAGTAACATGCCAGAGTGTTACAGGTAAGCTGCAGCCACCTGGCAATACATAGTTTAATAGAAATGGGATAATAATTAGAAGAGAGCTAGCCAATAGGAAGCCTGAGCCATTGGTCAAACAGTTTATAATTACTAGAAGTCTCTGTGTGTTTATTTGGGACTTATGGGACCAGGCAGGACAGAAACTCCATCTTCACCCATGTCTTTGGAGAATCTTTAAAATAATTTAAAAAATAACCAGCATGTGCAGAGTACTTGTCTAATATGTGTGACACCTTGGGTTCAAGTTCTAGAACCATACCATGTATACATATTATACATATATATATGCATACAGTCACCCCCAAACCAATCAAGCAAACTCATCCAAAGAGTCAGCCAGTCCTCTGACCTGTTTGAGTTTCACAGACATTTGCATACAGCTCGCCTTGTGTGGATGCATCTCCAGAATTCTTGGACTCCTTCTCTCTCTGAGCTTTTCCTGCCCCCCACCAAAAAAAAAAAAGTTACAGAGTCATCACATTGAACCAATTTAGACATGTTTATCCTGTCTTCCCTGCCAAGGGGCAGAATCTCCCATGATTCCAAGTGGCATGCCTCAGTGCTGGCCTCAAGTAATGAGGGAAACAATCACAGATTCTTATACAACACCCACACCTCTGACCCAGGGCCTCCTGGCCAGGTCCTGTGAGGTCTTAGTCTATATATAGTATTGAAAATAGACACATTTGGTAGGAAGCCTCTAGTCATCTTTAAGAGATGAGTGATATAATTAAGTTCTGTGTCAGCAGAAATTAAAAAAAAATTTTTTTGAGACAGGGTTTTTCTGTGTAGCCCTGGCTGTCCTGGAACTTGCTATGTAGACCAATCAGGCCTTGAACTCTGCCTGCCCCTGCCTCCCGAGTGCTGGTATTAATGGTGTGTGCAAATCTTTATTTTCTTTTTTCTTTGAGACAGGGTTTCTCTGTGAAACAGTCATAGCTGTCCTGGAACTCACTCTGTGGACCAGGCTGGCCTCGAACTCAGAGATCCAGCTGCCTCAGCATCTGCAGCTTGAGTGCTGGGATTAAAGGTGTGTGCCACCGCCACTTGGCTACAAATGCTGTTTTGTACAAATCTAGATATTTCTCCACACACGGGTCCAGTGAAAGGGCCACTTTGAGATCTTTGCCAGAAAAGGCCTTAGAGGTAAACAGGGAAAGGCTACTAGCCGGATGGCGAAGGTTTCTTTTGTTGCTGCTGTGCATCAAGTGGCAAGAGAGAGACCTGGTCCCATCCAATCACTCGCCAAGCTTCCTGAGGGTTGCTGAGAAACGGTTTCTGCTCTGGACCAACTATATGATATACAGTGAACTTCAGGACCTCTTGCTATAAACAGCGATATCCATACATGCACAGCATCACTTTATAGTAGCCAGAAGATGCGCGCAACCCAAGCATGGGGTGGAGGGGAGGGGAAAGGACATTAGGTATGCATGCAGATCACTGTTCCCCAGCCTAAAAACGAAAGACCTTCTGTTATACACAGGAAGCCAAGACCCAAGGACAGCTCCTGGAGACGTGCCACAGTTGGTAGAGTCCTTGCCTAGCGAGCAGGAAGCCCTGAGTTCGTTCATTCTGCGTACCTGCGATCCAGCCACTCAGGAGGACCAGAAGTTCAAGGCTATCCTCAACTACATGGTGAGTATGAGGCCAGCCTGGGATACAGGAGACTCTGTCACAAAATAAAACAAGACAGACAACTGCTGCAGCGCGCTGGGTTTCAGCCTGGGGGCCAACACAAGTGTGGGGTTACTGGTGGTCTCACAGCAGAGCAAAGGACTGAATGCCACTAACAAGCACACATGAGGGGCCGAACTGGGAGCTGAGGGTGTGACTCCGTGGAGAGCTCTGGTTTAGCAATTGATATACCGCTTTAAAAAAAGAAGACGGGGGGAGTAAAATTGCAAATTTCACTGTGTGTATATTTTAGCTGGGGATGCCACTCAGCTGGTGGAGTGCTTGCCTAGCATGCATGAAATCTCGGGTTCCATCCCTACTGTCAAATGAATTGGATGGAGGGGCATGTGCTTGTAATCCCAGCAATGGGGTCATGAAGGCCGGAGGATCAGAAGTCATAGTGAGGGCTGGAGAGATTGCTCAGTGGTTAAGAGCACTGGCTGCTCTTCCAGAAGACTCGGGTTCAGTTCCCAGAACCCACATGGCTACTCACATGTAATTGTCTGTAAATTCAGTTCCAGGGGATCTGACACCAATGGTAAAACACCAATGTACATACAATTAATGAATTTAAAATTCCTTTAAAAAAAATCAGGAGTGGTGGTGCCCACCTGTAAGCCCAGCATTCCCAAGCTGAGATGGGAGTATCATTGTGAGTTCAAAGCCAACCAGGCTTACATAGCAAGAGCCATTACAAAATAAAAGTATAAATGCTATTAACAATTTTGAGGTGGTAGCTGCAGAATTCTAATTCAGGCTCGGGGACTGGGCATGTAGGGCTGTGTGTGTAAGCCGTGTCCAGGTGAGGCTGGCTCTCCAGACAGCCTCCATCAGGAGGGCCTCACTGGGGACTTGAAGGCCATGCCCTGTGAGCCTCACGAAGTCTGTCTGTGCACCTCTTCATTTCTCAACTCTTGTTTTCATCTGTTGTTTTCAAGACAGGGCCTCTCTGTAGCCCTGGCTGTCCTGGAGCTCACTCTCTAGACCAGGCTGACCTCAAATCCGAGCTGTGCCCGCCTCTGCCTCCCAAGTGCTGGGATTAAAGGTGTGCCTGACCACCACCTGGCTTCTTGTCTCTTTAAATTTTTTAAAAAATGACATTTAGTTATTTGTTAGTGTGTGGGTGTGTGCATGCCACACAGCATAGTGGAAGTCAGAGGACAACTCACAGTGGTCAGTTTTCTCTTCCACCGTGTGGGTTCCGGGGAACGAACCCTCCTCCTCCTCCTCCTCTCCCTATTCCATTTCTTCCATCCAGGTACTAACCAAGCCAACTTTACTTCCCATCCGAGATCGGAAGACCATGTGCTCCCCACTCCATTTCTTTTTATTTAAGTATGTGCTTTAGAGTTTTATTGTTTGTTTTTTTGTTTTTGTTTGTTTTTCAAGACAGGTTTCTCTGTATTGTTTTGGAGGCTGTCCTAGAACTCGCTCTGTAGACCAGGCTGGCCTCGAACTCACAGAGATCCGCCTGCCTCTGCCTCCCAAGTGCTGGGATTAAAGGCATGCGCCACCAACGCCCGGCCGTGTTTTAGAGTTTTAACAATTGTATGTGTATAAGTGTTTTGCCTGCATGTATGTATATATATGCACCCTGTGTATACCTGGCGCCCCCCATCTGAACCATACCAGGGAGAACTTACCTTTTTTGTATTTTGGTTGAATCACAAAAACCAGAACTAGGACTATTACCAGTAGCCCCAGTAACACCCCTGGGAGCAGCTGTGACAGCAGACATGAAGGACAGCTGTCTTCTTCTGTAAGAAAAGTGTTCATGGGTCACCACTGGCTGTGACACTGACCTGATTAAGTGCTCTAGGAAAGGCCGTCATGGCTGCCTCCTGAGTTAACCATCTGTGTGCCCCATGAGAGTTCCCTTGTTGGGCCATGACGTTTTTAAAGTTATACCCTCGTTCCTTCCTCCCCCATGGCACCACAGAGCAGCACAGCACTTCATGGTTGGATCTGTCACAGCGTAGCCTGTCCCTGTAAGGACAGGCACAGGGTGTTTAGGGGCAACTCTTAGTTAGGGCTTGCAGGATTTGTGTCACCCAGACAGCTCCCATGTGTGAAGTGTTACACGCCAGACACTGTGTTAAGCACTATGCATGCATGGGGAGATGGCCGGGTTGCTAAAGTGCTCACTTCACAAACACGAGGACCTGAGTTTGGTCCCAGCACCCACAATCAAAAAGCCAGACTCGCGCCTGCAACTACAGCACTGGGCGGTGGAAATGGGAGGCTCTCTAGGCTCACTGGGCAGCCTGTCTGACCAAATCAATGAGCTCCAGTTCAGTGAGAGACCCTACCCCAAAGCATAGCGTACAGCATCGAGGAAGACATGCACCATAACTCTCTGGCCTCCTAAATATCTGTATATACATGTATACATTCACCACACACACACACCATACACACACCACACATACACCATACACACATATAAACCATAACCACACCACACACACACATACACACCACAGACACCACACATCCACAATATACACACACCACACACATACATACATACCATACACATACATACATACTATAAACACACATGCACATATACACTATACACACACCACACATACACACCACACACAGTATACACACACCACACACATATACCACACACACCACATATGCACACCATACACACGCACCATACATATACACCACGCACGCACACACACACTCACACACACACACACACTTAAGATAAAACAACGTAATCTCAGCACTCAACAGGCTGAGAGGCGGCAGGAGAATTATCAGAATTTCAAGGTCCGCGAGGCTACAAACCTAGTCAGGGGAAAAGAAAAAGAAAAATCTAGGTGAGGTAGAATATATTTGTAAACAGGAGGTTGAAGTGGAGCCATGAGTTTCCTGGGCTACACAGGGATTCCCTGTCGCCAAAACTGAAACCAAACAAATTTTAAAAAACAACGAAAAGGGAGAGAAATACTAAAGACCCGACGTCTCCAAGAAAATGCAAAGTCTACTATGGCTGCAACAATGGCTGCTTGGGCTACTTGGACCTCAGAACTGGAAGGCATGGAATAGGATGGGGCCAGGTCTTACCATCACAGCCATGTCTGCCTTTGATGTGGGAAGCAATTTTGTCTAGTGTGTGATGCTCCCATAGGGATTCTACATTTGGAAGCAAGAAGCCCAAACAGGAGGAGGATCAGGGCAGAAGCAGCTGCAGTTTCTAGAAGTAAGCGCAGAGTCTGTTGAAGGAACTCAGGGAAAGACCACATCATCAAGGTGAACTGGCCTGAGGGCAAGATGCAGCTTGGAGATGCAGATTGGTCTGGGGCGGGCAGGATGGCTCGGCAGCAGTGGTATAAAGCACTGTAACTCGAGCCCCATGACCTGAGTTGGAGCCCTGACATCCACGTAGGGCCACACGCACATGGGTGCACACACACATGACATAAGTAAAATCAGTTTAGACCTGTTTCCATCTGACTGACAGGGCAGTTGCCAGGTCTAAAGAATAGAAGAGGGAACTCAAACAGTGTCCAACCATACCGAGTACTCGGTACACAGGTCAACTCCTTACTCCCGCTCACTGGCCTCAAGGAGAATGGCCCGCTGAGGAGACACACACACAGCCGGGGGCCAGACAGATAGCTAACCTGACTGTATACAGTGTGGCACAAATCTGCTGAGGAATTGGAGGGGGGGAACAAGGCCGCCTCTTAGCTTCAGAGAACTGATGTTCAGACTTCATGGTCTATTATTTCTTCTCCAGATCTTGCTATGTAGCTGAGGCTAGCTTTAATCTCCTCATCCCCTGCTTCCAATTCCCAAATGCTGGGATTACAGGTGTGTGCAACACACCTGGCTATTTGTTTATTCTTGTTTTTTCTTCTTTCTTTTTGTTTTTCAAGACAGCTCTTCTCTTTGTAATCCTGGCTATCCTGGAACTCACTCTTGTACACAAGGCTGGCCTTGAACTCTGATTCACCTATCTCTGCCTCCTGTGTGCTGGAATTAAAAGCATGTGCCACCACCACTCAGCCAGCTTGTTCCTTAAGAAAGACTACATCAGCCTGGCGTTGGTGGCACACGCCTTTAGTCCCAGCACTTGGGAGGCAGAGGCAGGTGGATCTCTGTGAGTTCAAGGCCAGCCTGGTCTACAGAGTGAGTTCCAGGACAGGATCCAAAGCCACAGAGAAACCCTGTCTTGAAAAAACAAAACAACAACAAAAAAGACTATATCAAAATTGTATTTAGCGTGTATACATACACACCCTTTTATGGTGTACATGTGCAAGCCAAATGACAACTTATGGGAGCTGATTCTTTCCACCAGGAAGCACCTGCACTCACCGAGTGCGAGTTTGTCAACTGACCAGTTCCAAGTCTAAGGTGGAGGGCTGGCTGAGTTTTAAACCCAAAGCATCATTTTTCTCTGACTATGTTTCCATTTATAGAATTTAGTTGTACAAGTACTTTTACTTCCTCCAAAAAGCAGAAGCGGCCTTGCTAAATTGATTCGAGGGAAATGCAAAACAGGAACTACAGGGCTCTCTGGTGGGTGCCAAATCTGACTCTTCTTTTCTACAGTTTGTTTGTTTTTTACAGATTTCTTTAGTTCTATTTATTTATTTATTTATTTATTTATTTTTGCTTTATGAGACTGGGTCTCTCTATGTAGTCTTGGCTGTCCTGGAACTTCATATGAGTCACCCTTGGCTACCTACATAAGTGAGTGTAAAGCCAGCCTAGGCAACACGAGAGTCTGCTTCCAAAGAAAGAAGGAAATGGCCACTGTCACAGAGCTGACGGAGAGCACACTAGCTGCTGAGAGCCCTCTCCCCCATCTCCCACTACTCTAGGCTCCTCCAAACTTGAGCCCTGTGTCTGAAGTGTCCCCGGGGCTCACACACTTCTCTGACCTTCAGCCACCCAGAACCAGGCCAGTTCTCACCCCAAGCTAGAGCTCTGGGCACGCTGAGACTGAGACCAGCACCCTCTTTTCCCAGTCTCTCCACATAGCTAGCTCCTTCTTCTCATTGTCCCAGCCGCCTGGACACGCCCTCCTACCTCACCTAGGTGGGCCCTTCCCCAGGCCATACTCTTCCCCACACTGTGCCAGCTTCCTTTACAACAGCCGGCACAGCTTGTGAGCCATTTGTCTGGGTTTTCTGTTTTCCCCCTGGACCGAGATTCCATGAGGGCAGGAACCAACCAATATAAATCAGGGTGTGATGCATCCAGCTTCTCCATAAGGGCATCCCTGACTAGGGAACCTGTGCTTAAGGCTCTCGGGACATGAGCGTGCCTTAGGTATCACTGATGAGTCCTGGAAGCACCTTAGCTTGCAACAACCAACAGCCTGCACCAAGTGGGCAATCGATAGAGACATATCTGTGAGATTTCATTGAAGATGACCGTGTCCTATAGTCCATCAAACAGTTTGCTGGGAGAGAGTGTCACTTGAACAGATTGCCGGAAGGCCGTGTGCAGAGGATTCGTGTTTGGCGGCCTTACCATGGAGGGTGGGGGGTTCTGTTAAGCCACTGTTCACCACGATCCGTTGGTTTTTCCCCTTCCACTCAATCCTATGACAGCCACAACTGCTGCTTATGTTCAGACTACAGCCTCCCCCTGGAGCCCTGAGCATGAAACTCCTTTAAAAACACACGCCGTTAGCTGTGCCGGCCAATAGTGGTGTCAACTTGATCAGATCTAAAATACCCTAAGACTTAATATCTGGGCGAGTCGCGAGGGATTATATAGACGAGGTTAATTGAGATGGAAAGATCCACCCTAAGCGTGGGTGGGTGGTATCATCCCACGGGAAAAGTCTCAGATTGTATAAGAAGAGAAAGTAGGCTGGTGGCAGGCACACGCCTTTAACCCCAGCACCTGGGAGGCAGAGGCAAGAGGATGGATCTCTGTGAGTCCAAGGTCAGCCTGGTCTACATTGTGAGTTCTAGGCTAGCCAAGGCTACCTAATCAGACTGTCTTTAAAAAAAAATCACTAAATTTTCAGAATAAGAGAAAGAAAACTGAGCACAAGGATTCACACAGACAAAGCACTCATGCGTGCACACACACACACACACACACACACACACACACACACACACACACGCTTCCTGTATGTGGATTTAAGGTAACCTACCACCTCTCACCCACTGCTGTAACTGTCCCTGTCATGATGACTGTGTCGCTGGGAACTTTGAACCCAAACAAGTCCTTCTCTAAAGTGCTTTTGCCAGGTGTTTTGTCATAGCAACAAAACAAGCGACTGACACATCACCCTCCTTATCACCCCCTGGGGAAAGTACACCCTGCTGTATTCCATTAGATTAGGACATTTGTACCCTGATATTTAGAGCCATTGACCTGCATTTCCATCTAACAAAACTTTCTGTAGTTGTCCAATATGGCAGTCACTGGAATACTAGAAATGTGACAAGACTGTGGCACTGAGGTTTTTACCTTATTTATTCTATGACAGTGTCTCACCATGTAACCCTGGCTAGCCTGGAACTGGCTCTGTAGACCAGGCAAGCATGCACTGGCGCACATGCCGTAGCATGTTCGTGGAGGCAGAGAACAACCCTGTGGGATCAGCTCTCTCCTTCCGCCTTGATGCGAGCTCCAGGGACCAAACTCAGACTTGTACAGTAAGCACCTTTACACCACTGAGCTACCTTGCCAGCCTGGAATTGTTTTTGTTGTCATTTGGATCAGTTTGAATTGAATTTTGGGTGGATACATGTGGCTAAGGGAGCCCCATGCCAGTAGACCTGGAGAAGCCAGTGGTTCCTTCTAAGGTCTGACGAGACTGCAGATATAATGTTTAGATCCCTTCTCTCACTCTCCTAGGGACTCATTATCAAGGTCACCACAGATGAGGCTACCATACCGGGCTAAGGGAAGCTGGCATGGGAAGGCAACAGAGAGAGAAACAGAACACACAGGTGTAGCTAAGGATGGCCCTGTCCTTCTGGGTGGGAAGGGTGCTGGCTCTTGGGGCTTCAAGCTTCTATGGAAGGAGACTGGTGATCTGGGTAATCTTGGCAAGACTAGGAAATCAGTGAGGCACTTCCAGAGAGGATTAGCTAAGTGGGGAGGACCCTCTCCAATGTGGGAGCACCATCCTGTAGACTGAGGGCCCAGCTAGAATAAGAAGAAAAAAAAGCCTGCAGCACATGCTCTAAACTGATGAGCCTGTCTCCTGTCCCTTTCCACGTTCTTGAGTGTTTCCGACAGCCAAGAGCTCTTCCTAGCACCAGAGAGAGTCCCTTCAGTCCTCCTCCCCTCCCCCACACCCAGCCTCCACTGTATGGCAGAGGTACTCACTGGCGATTTCGAACTTGAGTTCCTGACTATATTTCTGCGAGTAGTTGGAAACGTTGATTTTGCATTTGTAGGGGCCTGTTTCATTGGTGTTGGAGATCTTCAGGTAAAAAGTCACAGCTTCCGCTCTCGTTTCCTTGGTTTGTAGGTGTTTCGTACCCAAAAACAGTGAATAGGTGATATTCATTGGTGCGTTCTTGCTGGAACAAGATAGAGATACATTTTGGCCCATCCTGACCACATTCACGCTTGAGTTCAAATTCGGAGAAAGTAATTCTGGAAAAACAAAATGACACAGCAGTCTTCATTAAAACCGCTCGACGGGGCTAGAGCTGTAGGTCTGGGTGGTGGAGTGCTTGTCAGCGTGCACCAAGCCCTGAGTTCCATCCTGGGCACAGCACAACTCAGGTGTGCAATTCCAGCGCGCGGAGGATGGAAGCAAGAAGGACAGGACCAGCCTCAGCCACACAGGGGGTTCAAAGGCAGCCTGGGCTCCAGGAAACCAGTGTGACGGTTAATAGCGACAGGTTGACAGGCTCTAGGATCACCTAGGAGACTGACTGCCTCTGGGATGTCTGTGAGGAAGCTTGTAGACTTCGCTAACTGGGGTGGGAAGATCCGCTCTGAATGTGGGTGATCCATCACAGGACTGGGTTCCCAGACTGAATAAAAGGAAGCCAGGGACAGCGAGCCGAGCACCCGTCTCTCTGCTTCCCGACTGCGGATGCTCTGTGACCAGCTGCCTCAGGCCCCCGCCACCACGACTTCCCAGCTGTCATGGGCAGAGTGTCCTCTTGAACTGTGAGCCCAGGTTGACCCTTCTTCCTTTCGGTTGCTTCTGTCTTGATATTTAGTCACATTGGTGACAGAAGTAACAAACACCCCCCTTTCTCAAGACAGAAACAAACATCTTAGGACAACTTTGTTTTCCCACTCAACCCCAATCTTTTCTTTGTAGCACGAATTCTACTTGGTCTTCATAATACCTCCCCCCCCCCGTGTCAGATATTGGGGTTAATGCTGAAGATTAGAGGAGCAAAGCGGCTCCTGTCTCCTGCCTTTATTCCTCTCTCCACATAGCCGTGTCACTCCTGTCTCTATCTCCCTAGTGCTGGGATCACCTTAGTGTGAGCTCTGTTTCTCTTTTAGACTGATTCAATCTCATGTAGCCCATAGCTTGTGAATTTATTGCTTTTCAATACATCCTGACATCATACACAGACATAAACATATTCATCTAGGTTTCTCCATTGTGTGCTCAACCACACTCAGCACTAAGAGGTTGAAGCAGGAGGATTCCCATGAGTTCAACATAGCTTGGGCTACATAGTGAATGCTAGTCTATGTAGCAAGATCCTATCACAAACAATCCGTAAAAACAAAAACAAGCCAGGCGGTGGTAGCACATCCCTTCAATCCCAGCACTTGGGGGTGACAGAGGCAGGCAGATCTCTGTGAGTTCAAAAGCCAACCTGGTCTACACAGCTAGTTCCAGGACAGCCCGAGCTGTTACAAGGAGAAACCGTCTCAAAAGATAACAACAAAAGCAAAACAAAACAAAAAACCCACACAATCCAACTACTGATACTGGCTGCTTCTGGAAGCAGCGGGGAGACAGGCTGGGGCTACAGAACAGCAATGTTAATCCCGTGTGGGTAGCATATACGGAAGGAGTGCTTCGTTCCAGAAGCTGTACAGAGGAAGGAGTGCCTCGTTCCAGAAGCTGTACAGAGGAGCAGGCGCTGCAGCGCGCCCATCTCACAGGTGAAAGAAATCAAAGTCAAAAGCGATCAGTATGTGTGTCCAGGCTGCCCGCTGGTGAGTAACATGCCAGGCTTAGTGTTAAAGTGCCCTGGCTCCGTGGTGGAGTTCCCCCTATGCATAGTACTAGTTGCTTGAATTCAGGATGTGTGGAATGCAGGCATGGTGGCACACACCTGTAACCGGCACACGGGAGAAGAAGAGACGGGGGTGGGGTGGGGGTGGGTGTCTCTCTAGCAGGCCTGAGCATGGAGAGCACAGCACCAACAGATGCTGCCTTTCGCCCCTTCTCCCCCTTCCCTCTGCCCTGCTAACCCTTCAGATTACGTTCCTAAGCTAGCACCTAGGCTTATTTGGTCCCTTCCTCCTATCAAAATACTGAAGTCCGCTAATCAAAAGCCTCCTTGTGGCTACCCCAATCAGCACGCCCAATCAAACACACGAACTCATCCTGACACGGGTTTCCCCCTTTCCTTTATAAACCACCCATTCATTACCTGTGGGTCAAGTCTGTCTCCTCTCTATCCAGAGGCAGTCCTTTGTCCCTCCAGGCAGGCATACTTCAGCCTCTCACTATTCCTTTTCTTTTTTCCCCATGTTGTCTATGTCCTGTCTTTGCTAATCCCTGTCCTTTGTCCCTCTGGGGTAAACAAACAAAAAAACTCCTTCATGCTGAGAACCTGGTCTTGCTGTGTCCTGGGCTGTCCTTGCCTTAAGAAGGCTCTGGAGTTCTAGTCCAGCCTTGGCCACATAATGGAGTTTGAGGCCAGCCTGAACTACATGAGACTCAGCCTCTAGCAAAAAAAAAAAAAAAAAGGCCAGGGACTTTGAAGTTTTCCGTGGTACAAACTGTCTCAAGACTTTGCCGCTGAGTTTTGAGTAGGAAAAAAAAGCTACACTTCCCCCTCTAAACTCAAAGTCAAAGCCGGCTATGCCACGTTCTGATGAACATCACGTTAGGAAATGAAACTTACCACTGTTTCTTTTCCCCTTCTTACAATCCACTGCAGTGTTCTGAACTGAAAGCAAAAAAGATAAGATTAGCAAGAGCTCATACTCCACACAGTGTTTTGGAGAGCTGAGTTTTGTTTTGTTTGTTGCCTTTGTTTTTTGAAACAGGTTCTCACTAGGTAGCGCTGGTTGTCCTGGAACTCTCTCTGTAGACTAGACTGGCCTCACACTCACAGGGATCCTCCTGCCTCTGCCTCCTGAGTGATGGGATTAAAGGCGTGCGCCACCACCACTCTGGGCCTGAGAGTTAGTTAATTTTTAAAATATCGAATCAGGCTTACATGCTGTAGAAAGAAAAATAGCTCCGAGTAAGAGTTTGTCCAGCCAGCGGCTTATTCCCTTGAATGAGACAGAGGCGCACATGGGAGGGCCACTGTCACCCATCCTAGTGGTGCGACTGCAGAGCGGTGCGACTTCTTCAGATCCCTCTTCCCAGCCCCACGAAGGAAGTGAGAGGGTTTAGACAAGGTTGCACAACTTGACTTGTGACGACTTGGTTTAACTGGCCTTCATGTTACCGTAACAGGCACTCAGCAGCTGCCCTGACAGCAAGCCCTCCTTCCTCTCTGGGACCTGTTTTGTGACGGTAGTTCTTTTGTCTTTTGTCCTCTCTCTCTCTCTCTCTCTCTCTCTCTCTCTCTCTCTCTCTCTCTCTCTCTCTCTCTCTCTCTCTCTCTCTCTCTCTCTCTCTCTCTCTCTCTAAATCATTGTGCTCCAGAGATCTATAAAACAAAAATGCCTCTAATGTGCAAGCCCCTCTTGCCCAGGGACAGATAATTTCCTGGAACACTAGGGGCTGTTGTTCATGGAAAATTAAAAGCCCCTTGTTTTCACTTCTGGATACGAGCTTGGTTGCCCCAACTGCAGGGAGGTGCTTGATCACACCTAGGCTGGAGGTACTCGGCAGGACGGATGCTTGCCCCTGATTGGACGAAGGTGGGAAGTACCGGGTTTTGCTTTTATAAGCCTCCGACTAATGTCACATTTGACTCAGAAGTTGTGGCAATGGGCTTATTCTTGACAAGTGGGATTAACAACATCCCCCCCCCCCCCCCCGTTCCTAGCTGCCTGTGAGGTGAGCCACAGGCTCCAACACTGTCAGTACATGTGGGTGCTCTTTGGGGCGGCACATAGATCTTTGTGAGTTTGAGGCCAGCCTGGTCTACAGGGTGAGTTCCAGGACAACCAGAGCTGTTACACAGAGAAACCTTGTCTCTTTTGAAAAGCCAACCAACCAAACAAAAAAGATGCCTCTTGGTATTCAAATTAATTAATATAAATAAATTACAAATAACAGCCCTTCCTGGAAAGATCCACCTGTGGCCTTTACCTGTCCCTGGGTAACACATGGCCTTGTAGACAGCAGCACCTCCTTTCTTTTTCTTTCTTTTTTTTTTTTGGTTTTTTACGACACAGGGTTTCTCTGTATTGTTTTGGAGGCTGTCGGTCCAGCCCGGCCTCTAACTCGCAGAGATCCGCCTGCCTCTGCCCCCCCCCCCAGTGCTGGGATTAAAGGCGTGCGCCACCACCGTCCGGCTAGCACCTCCTTTCTTAAGATTAGATAAGGCATATTTTGAGCATGGGCGATGGCAGAAACAGAAATAACTGTAAGTGGATTTTACTTTGTCCTGGCAGCTGTTCCCAAATAACCAGAGACTTAGCGTTAATTATAAATGCTTGTCCAATAGCTTAAGCTTGTTTTTGAAGGGCACACGAGCCAGTTAAAGATGGTGCCGAGGGGAAGTCAGGAGCATGAGTCCAAAAGTGCTTACCAAAAGGAATGATGATGTCACGCCATGACCAGCTAAGCAAAGCAATGAGTGAGTGCCCTAGAGTCTGATCAAGGTAACCTTTAAAATTCAAGGTAACCTTTAAAATCTCTGGTTGGTTGCTGTTCTGCTTCCTTAAGGTTTTGTAGGTTTTTGCTTTTTTTTTTTTTTTTTTTTGGTTTTTCGAGACAGGGTTTCTCTGTGGCTTTGGAGGCTGTCCTGGAACTCACTTGGTAGTCCAGGCTGGTCTCGAACTTACAGAGATCCGCCTGCCTCTGCCTCCCGAGTGCTGGGATTAAAGGCGTGTGCCACCAACGCCCGGCTAGGTTTTTGCTTTAAAAATGTTTCCTAACAGCCAATAAACAAGTTCCTGCTTGATTTGACTCCCAGCTGCTTCTGACTGTCTCTGGCTCTGACTGTCTCTGGGATCTGGGGAGGCTGGGGGAACAGGCGAGCTGCACACTTAGCCTTCCCCAGTTTGGCTTACCGGGTCCAGTTTTTTAGCTAGCTCCTGTAACTTAAATCGACCCACTTCTATTCATCGACGTGCTGCCCAAGGCTCATCACCTCATTTACATACTTCCCATCCTGCTCGTTCTGCCCCTCATGGCGCCTCTTCTGACTCTGCCTTTCTTCTTCCCAGCATTCCTCTGCTCAGAAAAATCTTGCCTAGCCATCAGCAAGTCAGCTCCTTATTAACCAGCGAGAGTGGTACATATTCACATTGTGTACAAAGATTGTGCAAATAGCATAATCGGGAAAGTATCTGGTAGGCGTGAGAGTCGTCCCTTTCCACTTACTGTCTCTGCCCTCAGGAACGCATTTTGGCTCCTACCCCACAAATCTTGAGGGACAGTTTATCAGTAGCAGTGGCTCACAGTGGCAGCCGTTATTTCTGGGCTTGGCTAGTCCTTATAGCAACATGCTTTTCCTACATGCTGTCCTTTAATCCTCCGAAGGGTTGTCACCCTCATTTTACATTTGAAGAAATTTGCTGAAAAAGGTTTTTTTTTTTGTTTTTTTGTTTTTGTTTTTCGAGACAGGGTTTCTCTGTATTGTTTTGGAGGCTGTCCTGGAACTCGCTCTGTAGACCAGGCTGGCCTCGAACTCACAGAGATCCGCCTGCCTCTGCCTCCCGAGTGCTGGGATTAAAGGCGTGCGCCACCAACGCCCAGCTTGTTTTTTTTTTTTTTTTAGCATTTTGGACGATGAGTTTTTCAGACAGACCCTGTACTGTAATGACTGTTTTCTGTCACTAAAGCAAGAGAACTGGCCGTGGTGGCACACACCTGTAATCACAGAGATCAGGAGGCAGAGGCAAGAGGTTCAAGACATCAAGACCAGCCTCAGCCACATACTGGGTTCGAGGCTGGCCTGTAGTACATGAGACTGACCAAAGGAAAGGGAGTTTTGGGTACAGCTGGGCCAGGTGGCAAAGGCTCATAATCCCAGCATTAGGAAGTTAGGGCAGGAAGACAGACGTTCAAGGCTGGTCTAGTTCCAGGCCAGCCTGGGCTACATAGCAAGATCCTGTCTCAAAACCAGACAGAGAGACAACTGACAGTTCTTTAAATTTAAAAAACAAAGCCGGGCGGTGGTGGCGCATGCCTTTAATCCCAGCACTCGGGAGGCAGAGGCAGGTGGATCTCTGTGAGTTCAAGGCCAGGCTGGACCAACAGCCTCCAAAACAATACAGAGAAACCCTGTCTCGTAAAAACCAAAAAAAAAAAAAAAAAAAAAAATTTAAAAAACAAAAAAAGAGGCTGGGTAGGGAGCCCTATGAGTTTCTATCATGGGGTGGTCCTCAGGTTTAGTCTAAAGGGAGATGTAAGTTTGAAAGCATTACTTTTTTTTGTTTGTTTTTGTTTTTCGAGACAGTGTTTCTCTGCATTGTTTTAGAGGCTCTCCTGGAACTCGCTTTGTAGACCAGGCTGGCCTCGAACTCACAGAGATCCACCTGCCTCTTCCTCCCAAGTGCTGGGATTAAAGTCGTGCATCACCAACGCCAGGCTGAAAGCATTACTTTTTCATTCTTTAATTTTAATCTTTTATTATTTTGTGTATATGGGTGTTTTGCCATGTGTGTGTGGTGTCTGAAGACCTCGGATCCCCTGGGACTGGAGTTACAGACAGTTTTAAGCTGTCATTTGGGTGCTGGGGATCAAACTTCTGGAAGAGCTGTCTGTCCAGCCCTGTTTTGTTGTTGTTGTTGTTAGTTTTGTTCTGAGACTGGGTCTCTCCATGTAGCTTTGGCTGGCTTGGAACCTGATATATAGACAGATCAGGCCCTGAGCTCACAGAGAGCCACCTACTTGCGTTTCCTGAGTGCTAAATGATTTGTCACCACATCTGGTAGAATTTCAACTTGGATGGACTCCCCCCCCCCCAGAGTGACTTCTGTCTTGCCTGGGCAGAGGTAAGTGCAGGGTCGGAGACTTTGTGGGGAAAGATGCCATTTCTGGGCGTTTGTAACTTTGGAAACCAGCAGGAAGTTTGCTAACCACAGCAAAATTTGATGGCTCACAGAGACCACAGACAACCCCAAGGAAAATACTCCACACGGCTATTGACAAATGTTGCTAGGGTGCTTCAGCTGGCCCCAGAAAGGGACAGATGCCTGTTCAAGGGTGACATAATAAATCTGGGGTAAAGTCCCACTTTAAAAAGGACGAGTTCATCCTTGGACCTGACACATCCCTTGGATCCAAAACTCATGCCAAGTTCAAGGTTTTACAGCTCATGACACCAACCTTCCTGATACAATGGACAGTAATAAACATAGTTGGAGGCAGAGGTGGCCTTTCTGCTGAGTGACAAGCCTATACTGATGACCTCATTCAATTTTAAAGAAGTCTCTGTGGAAGTGTTATTGGAAATACTTAACAGACACTAAAGTAATATAAAAATATAGTTCAATATATATCAAAAATTTTAAATAGGGGGCTAGAGAGATGGTTCAGCAGTTAAGAGCATTTGCTGCTCTTCCAGAAGACCCGAGTTCAGTTTTCAGCAGAGTGTGTGTGTGTGGGGGGGGGTATCTCTCACAACTGCTTGTATGTCCAGCTTTGGGAGCTCTGCCGCCCTCTTCTGGTTTCCACAGGCACTATATGCATAAGATGCACAAACATATCAGCAGGCTAAACACCAATACACATAAAATGAAAGTAAATAAATCTTTTTCAAAAACAAAAAAGCTTCCAGAGGTGGTCATGCATGCCTTTAATCCCAGCACTCGGGAGGCAGAGGCAGTAAGTTTGAGGCCAACCTGGGCTACCCAAGACCCTGTCTCAAAGAATTCAAGAAAAAAAAATCAGCAGAGTGATACATCCCCTGTGTCTTAGCATTCAGGAAATAGAGGAAGAGGGACCAGGGGTTCAAGGCTTGCTTCATATATCTATCACGTTTAAGACCACCCTGGGTTATTTGAGACCTTGTCTAAAATAAAATAACCACAACAAACAAAAATCCCCCCAAGAAAACCAAACCCCTGAAAAGTGAACTAAGTGTGTCAAAAAACTGAGAAATGGGGCTGGAGAGGTGGCTCAGAGGCTAAGAGCACTGTTTACTCTTCCAGAGGTCCTGAGTTCAATTCCCAGCAACCACATGGTGGCTCGCAACCATCTATAGTGAGATCTGGTGCCGTCTTCTGGAGAGCTGACATATGTGTAGGCAGAATACTGTGTACATAATAAATAAATCTTAAAAAAAAACTGAGAAGGAAGTATTTAGGATGAGCCATGATATGTGTG